GAAAAAGTGACTTTATATAAGTGAATCAGGTTATTATTAGAAGATGCCACTAGATATGATATACTTAAGACAATCTCATTCTTGGGTGATATTTCTGCCAAAAATGCAATCATGAGGAGACATCAGACAAACCCAAATTGAGAAAACTTCTACAAATCATCCTTTACTCTTCAAAAATGACAAGGTCAAGAAAGGTTGTGGACCTGTTCCAGTTTAAAGGAAACTAAAGTCATGATAACAAAAAAGAGTAAATGATCCTAGGGCCAGTGGAAATATATATAAAGGACATTACTGGACAACTGACAAAACAGTGGAAAAGACAAGATTATATCAAAGCTAATTTCCTGGTTTTGTTAAGTAAACACTATAGTTAATATGAGAACATCCCTGGAAATACACAAAGTTTTAAGAATAAAACAGATGTCTCTAACTTACCTTTCACATGGCTCAGGAACAGTGTAAGTAAAATGAAATATTATTGGTAAACGGCAAAGGGGATATAACTTTTTGTACTATAGTGCAAATTTTCCCTAAGTTTGAAACTTTGTCAAAACAACTGTAAAAGCCTGCTCATTCAGGTTTCTTCCGTGCTTTTCACGAAGAGGAACTGTATCTGAAATAGGCGTTTTTTTTTTTTAAACACTCTTAAGACTGTTAGGAACTGAACCAGGATTTGAATCCTGCCTGTTAACAAATTCCCTTACAAATATCATAATTTCCACAGTAATGATCTCAACTAGTAATCCTGATTTCCTTCAAGGGGTCAAGGATGGAACTTACTGTTTATTACCTGTTTGTATTCACTTTCTGATTTCTGAACCATTTCTTCTTTCTATTCACTTTAAGTTAATCACTCTACTAATCACTACCCTGGGGCCCATCTGTGAAGTTGCTGTAAAACAGGCAAATCTAAGCAAGCTACTTAGGATCTAGAAGACCAACTACAAAACACAACTGCACCTACTCATCCTTTCAATTAATGGACGCATACATGGTTTTAGGCACACGAAGTTTAAGATGTGGTTGCTGCTTCAGAAAGCTAAAAATTTAATCCCAGGCAGTTCAGTGGTTAGGATTCCATACTTTTATTTTAGTGCCAAGGGTTTAGGTTTTATCTCTGGCTGGGGAACTGAGATCCTCAAGCTGCACAGCTTTACAAAAAAAAAATAAAAACTTGAGTATAAACTGATAATTACCAAGTGCTAAAATGTTTTAAGAGCTCTAAAATACATATTTTATGAAGGACTATTGGTTATATAAACAAAAAAATTACTTCCTTAAAAAAGCTGGCACTGAAAAAAAAATTCTTATGTTATCTATTTCATGGTAGTGCGCCATTTAGAGCGGCAGATCTCTGTACTACTCTAAGTAAAAGTGAGCTGCAGAACACACTCATGGTATGAACTGCTTACTGACGAACACAGGCATTAAAGATGGATTAGCCTGGGTAAACAGTGTTAGAAGCAGCTACCTTAGTGCATGCATGCTAAGTCGCTTCAGTTGTGCCTGACTCTTTGTGACCCTACAGTCTGTAGCCTGCCAGGATCCTCTGTTCAAGGGATTCTCCAAGCAAAAATACTGGAGTGGATAGCCATGCCCTACTCCAGGGGATCTTCCTGACCCAGGGATCAAACCCTTGTCTCTCCTGTCTCCTGCATTGACAGGCACTTGCACCACTTGTGAGGCTACATTAGTAAGTGGACACTAGAAGAGAGATACTTTACAAAACACTACATTTTCACAAGGCTAAAATTGCACACAACCACAAAAACTGAAGTCAGAAAACATTTTCTGAAAGCAAGGTATGTAAGAGTGAAATTAGGTTGAGGACTTGGGCAAAGATGACCTGAGTTTCCTAGTTTATCTGGGTAATTATCACAGAAAATGTTCAAACTGCTACAAGATAAAAGGAGGTAAATTTTGTGTGAAATCTAAAGACTTAGTTGAATACAAAAGACTTAGCATGTTTAGCCCTTCATAACAGCAATTATTTATTATGGTGCTAATCTAAGTCCTTTTCATGTATTAAACTTTTCCCTTCACAACCCATGAGGGGTTATCCCTCCCACTGTGGATGACACTGAGGCACGAAGGTTAATGGCTTGCCCCAGATATGATGATGATGATGATGGTCACTCAGTCGTGTCCGACTCTGCGACCTCATGGACTTCTCCAGGCCAGAATACTGGAGTGGGTAAGCCTTTCCCTTCTCCAGGGGATCTTCCCAACCCAGGTCTCCTGCATTGCAGGCGGTTCTCTTTACCAGCTGAGCCACAAGGGAAGCCCATGATAAACCATCTATTAATACCATGTTGGTCCTAACCTCATGTTTCTGAGCTGAAAAGTCCTTTTCTCATGTTCAAGTCAGGAAAGAATCTATTAATACCATGTTGGTCCTAACCTCATGTTTCTGAGCTGAAAAGTCCTTTTCTCATGTTCAAGTCAGGAAAGAAAGAAAACTTGATAATGGCAACTCTGATTAAAAAAAGCCAAATATCAGATATTTGCCAAATATCTGATGCTAAGTGGGAATACACAAGAAACTCAAATCAAGCCTTTCCCTCAGTGAACATTTTATTGAGGCAATAAAGCACAAAATAGGTTAACAAAGTGGGAGAAAGAAGATACCGAGAGAAAAGACGGTAACAACACAGGAGTGGAACGTTAAGTCACAGGGCAGGAAAGACTCGAACTGGCCATAAAGGCACTATGGCATGTTCACACACTACCAGGTAAAAGATCGGGGGATCCAGGTTATCACACTTCTATTCTGCTCTCTACCAGTTTAACACTCCCATCTAGCCACAGGTAAAGATGTGGCAAGTTGCAGAGACTCAGATTCTACTTAAGTTAGCAGGGAACTAAACATTTTATTGGTCAACTCTAAGTGGGCCAGTGTTTATACATAAACAGTGGTTTAGCATGTCCAATGATGGGGGTCCACAGGCGTGGAATAGGAACTAGAGTTTTAATAAACTGGTGTTTGCTATTAAATTCTTATGGGTGCAGGCATTAACCTATACAATTACCCACCTGCGGGGGTGGCAGCTAACGAGGATAGACAAACCTGCCTATTACCATGTGATGTCATAAGAAAGCCCAGTTGAAGGATGCTGCATACTTTTAGAAAGTCATATTGTATATTGTAGTATTCCCCCCTCCTTCACTTTAAAAGGCTGTGGTTTTAAAAGCTTTTGTTCTTTCCCTGAAAACAAGAGAACTTTGGTCAAAGCCAATTCTTAAAAGTAACTTGTCCTTAAACACATTTTGAAAGGCAATGGAGACTTGCTTCTTTATGCAACAGTCAACTTTTTTTCTTTGAAACAGGCAGAACAATGAACTATAATTACAGATACCAGTTTTTTCTCTCAAAATCCAAGGTCTATATGGGGAAACAAAAACAAACCATATTTCTTATGAATATCTAAAAAAATATCAGAAGCATTTAAGAAAATAAGGTCGTCAAAGAAGCATCAACCTTTTGGGGCACTATGTTCCCAAGATTAGACTCTAAGATTTCGTAACAGGAAGCCCAGAAATTTCTCAAAATAACGATATCCATCACAATGTACCCTAACACTACCCAGCCCATGACATCTTATACACTGACAGCTCCTAGAAAGATGTTAAAGCTGAGCCAAACAACCTACAGCCCAATTTCAGACTAAGATTAATGAATGGTTTTTCAAATGAAATTACCTTAATGAACCTGAACAGAGAGATATAAGGTAATTCATTTCTCAAACTGCAATTTCGACTAACTAGGCTTACGGACGTAAGGACTAATTGTAACCCAGTAACTCCTATGAATTTGCAGATTATAATTTGGTTTCCACAGTATTTATTACACTTTATGATGAAGTACTAGGGTTTAACCCATTTAAGTTTTTTCCAAGCCAACCACATAAAGTTCATAAGGATGATCTAACCAATTATCACAGAATCCCACTAACTACAAAAGGATGACTGTTAGGCAGAATTTTGCTTTAAATGGTAATTGATTTACCAAATGATCTGTTAAGTGCCTGTTAATATTAAGGATTTTCCAATAGAAAACACAGTATTTCTTTTCCATTTTGAATAACATACTAAATTTCTGATCAAAGAAAGGTTACTTCTATTTTTACATAACAGTAAAGATCACGGAACCTTACTCTTACAAAACACTAATTACAATGATCACTTTCAGAAAGTGGGATTACCAGGCTAGATGAGATCCCAAGTATTAGAACTACATTTTTGAGTTCAACCAATTTAAGTTTAAAGAACATTTTAAAAAGCTAGTAACTTAGGCAAAACTGTATAACAGGTCCACTACAAAATCTTTTATTTTTAACTTAAACCTGTTTAAGGGGCCAAAATGACTTTGGCAAATCTGATTAACAGCACAAAATAACGTATCCGAACTTATTGCATCTGAGACTTGCCTTGTTTTACACTTAAGTAGAGTTTACATAGTTTCCACAGATGTACTGATAATCTGTATCTCGAGGAATTTATAAGAGTGACCTATTCAAGTAAGGCAATCATCTTGGTAGCAAACTTTTATTGAAATCTTACATAACTCAAGCTTTATAAAAAGCCAACATAATTGAAAATTGGGTACTCCCTCTAAAGCCTTAAGTATTCAAAGCCTGAAACGGTTAATTTAAAATTAAGCAAACAAACATAACAATAACAAAACCCCTCCAGCAGATCCTGCTGAAATACTTAAAAAAAAAAAATCTAAATGAGCTTAATCTTTACAAAAGTTATTTTAGCTCAAAAGCTATAAAATCAAAGTTATCTTAATTCTACAAAGAAGGGAGAGGATCTTTGACTTCACGCCATTTCTTTAGAACCTCATCTTTTTCATCAAATTTGGCTACAAATCCAATTTGTGTGCCCGTTTTGGGAGGTTTCTTCTTGCAGAAGAGGCCAAGTAGAAACATGAAAGAGTAACTGACTAAGCAAGTAGGAAAGTGTTCTGTAATAGTGTGCAAAGAATGGAGAGTTCTGGGTTAATCTCTGGAACTTGACCTGGATCGTGACCTTGACTTTGAACGAGATCTAGAATGGGATCTTGAAGCTCTTTTTGGTGCAGGGGACACAGAACGGGCCTTTGAGGGTGGAGCAGGTAGGGGTGAATTGGAACGGGATTGGCTCCTTGATCTAGATTTGGACTTTATATCACCTTTTCCATTTTCTTTGGGGGAACGAGATCGAGAACGAGACCTGCTTCGAGATTTCTCATACTCATCCTTCGATCTGCTCCGAGAGCGCGAACGGGAGCCCCGATCGGACTTGGGTTTAGATTTGCTTTTTGATCTAGATTTCCTGCCTTTGGAACGAGACCGTGACCGACCTTTGCTCCGAGACCTGGATCTAGACAAGAAAAGCCAGATTTTTTTTCAGTACCTTGCCAGAACACACAAGCACTCTATAAACAAAGTTATTCAAAAAACACTCAAGAACACTTACCGGGAGCGACTTTTTGAGATACTTCGAGATCTACTGCGGCTGCTCCTACGACTTCTACTTCGTGACCGTCTTCTAGATCGAGACCTATAACAAGAAATGTGGTAAATAAATTTTCATCTCAAGACACCACAACACGAATGAACAATTTATACAGACAAGCCAATAACAAAACTCCTTAATTGCTCACTACAAATTAAATCTGTATCAAAATATTTAAAAAAGAACCCAACAATGCCAATAACAAAAGAAACTAAAAGCTGACCTAATTTCAATTCAGCAGTAATTGAAATACTGCTGTTTGAATTTTCTTTTGTTTGTGGCAAATATTGTCTCGCCCCATATCCTTCAATAAATTACCTAGATCTGCTTCCAGAATAAGACCGCCTATGGCTTGTTCGTGGCTTATCTTCAATGAGTCTAATATTTCTCCCATTGATTTCTGTACCGTCCAGTTTATCCAAAGCACGCTTCATGTCAGAGTAGGAGCGAAACTCAATGACACCTTCATTTGTGCGTTCTTTGTGAGCATCTGCATAGGTTACTTCACCTGCTTGTCTCATGAAATCCTAAAAGAGCAATATGACTAGTCATTCCCAGAAATCTAAAGAAGAAAGATTTGCTGTATTTGATTCTCAGATATAAAAGAATACAAACTTATCTTTTAAATGTTAAGTCAAATCTTTTATCCCAAATTATAACACTTACCTTTAAATCTTGCCAACTGCAACGACTAGAAAGATTTTCTACAATAAGTCTGAATTCTGTGCGTACAGGTGGTCCATATTTGTCTCTCCCAGAGGTTCTCCGACTGCTGTATCCACCTCCACCACCTTTATCATGTGAAGAGAACAATTAGATGCTTTGCAATGATAGGCATGCATAATGTTTTTGAAAGTTAGTACAAACATAACAACTTTCATTTACTGGAGTAGGACTTTGCTATTATACTGCTAAACCTTTGATACAGTTATGATTTGCCATAAATTAAATTAAGGGCAAGTCAAAACAGACTAAAACCAACTAAACTTCTCCTACATTCTGTTAGAGAGTGACTGCTCCTTTATTCAATTTACCTCGCTAAGTTTTATTTTACAGAACATTGTAAAATATAAAACTTAACTGATTACATGCATTTCTACATTTTACAAAAATGTTTACTAGTTACACTAAGTACTTACATCACAGTGTGAGGTTTTTGGTGGTGGTTTGGCCACAAAACACGCAAGGTAACAGTCACCTAGTTCAGATTAACCAGTTTTGTCTAACCCTTGGAATCCTCACCATCACCCTGCGTCTAATGGCAAAAGGCTGCTGTCGTCATGGCTTCCGGTAAGGTCAGCCAAAGGGTCATAGGGCAAGGGTCACACAATGTATGGAAAAGCCAAGGCCAATCAGGAAAGGCAGTCATCTTAGCCTCAGTGGACACAGCCTCAGCCCCATTGGTCACTTTCAAATTGAAACATCAAGGACTTGTTAAAAAGTTTGAATTCAACATGCAACAATTTCAACATCAAACATTTAACATAACCACCCCCCCACCTCCTCCCAATAACATGCCCCAACTAGTGCATATACAGCATAAAATTCATTTAGATCTCCTTTGTGGTGTAAAACCACCTTACTTATATTTTCTTTGGCCCCCGTCAATTTTTGTAAAGCTAAAACCTACGCTTAAAACCCCACCTCATTCCCCGCCCCGCCCCCACCTCCACCCCAACCAGTCCCAAACTTCTACGCTGTCATTCACATTTCTAGCTAATGCACTGACAGGCAAGTTGAGGGGATACAACAAATACAGCCACCCCTCACTTCCTCCGTAGGTAGAGCCCACGACAGTGCTGACAGGGGCCCAACAAGTCACTCCCTCCCGACTTGGCAATTCCCGCCCCCAAACACCCAAACCCTGCCTAGGCAAAACCCACCACCCAGTCCCCGCGCTCCGGCGTCCCGTGTCTTCCCCGGGCAGGCGCGAAGGTAGCGAACCCCGGGAGCACCCGAGTCAAACGGCCGCGGCCACCTCGCCTGCCCGGCTGGGAGGCCCCACCCCGTCCCCCTAAGCCTGCGCCCACCCCCCGGGGTCCCAAGGACGCGGAGCGCGCGGGGGTGGAACTCACTGCGGCTTCCGTAGCTGTAGCCGTCGCGATCCCGGCGCGGGCCGCGGGCGTGCTCCACGATCACGCGCTCGCCGCACAGCTCCTTGCCGTTCAGCTCGTAAACGGCGTCGTCGGCGTCGCGGGAGTCCTCGAACTCCACGAAGCCGTACCTGGGGGGCGGTGCGAGGGCCGGAGACCGACGGGCGTCGTTAGGTCGAGGGCGCGCACGCGCGCGCGCCCCCCCCTGGTCCCCGCGCGCTCCCGCGGCCCCGTGCCGCCGCCATCTTGGCGGCCCTGCCACGCGGCGCCGCGGCCTTGACCGTCTTCTCCCTCAGACGGGCCCGGCCACCGCAGGCCCGGGGCTCTGCGGGGGGACGAGGGCTGCCGGGGCCCGACTCACCCATTTTTAAGGTCTATTTCGAGAAGGCGGCCATAGCCACTAAAAAAGCGCTGGATGTCCTTCTCCCTGACGTTGTAGCTCAGGCGTCCTATGTAGACGCGCGGCATGTCCGCAGTGGGCAAGGGGCCCGAGGGCTGGCGGTCGAATGGCTGACCGCACGGCAGTAGCCGCGGTGCGGGTGCGGTGACGGCGAGAGCCCGGACACGCACCTCACACCAGAGCGGCGGCCGAGTCCAGCCACACAATGGTGCGCGCGCGCCTGGGCTACGCTATAAGGGCGGGCGGTAGGGGGCGGTGCCCGGCGTGTGACGTCAGCGCGCTGCACGTACTCTCCCGCTCTGGAGCGCGGAGCGCGGCGCTCGAGGGTGACTTGCTGTTCCTCAGCCCGCCAAGTTTCGGGGAAGTGAGGCTTTACCCGCTCACCGAATTTTTTCCCACACATCTTCGTTAACGTCACATTCTGTCTCCATCCAAGGACTTGTTTTCTAATTTGTGCTTAAAAAAAAAAAACCCACAAACTTTCTCCATGCTAGCTAGCTCTTCAGGACGGGCGCTCGGGAGGCCGTCCCGGAGAATCCCCCTTTTTCATTGGTTCTGGAGGTTGTCATAATAGGCCTCCACGATCTCTGATTGGTCCCTCAAAACGAGGCTCGAATTTTCTTCGCGGATCGTTGGGCTCACGCTCCGCTGGTGTGGAAGGCACCTAGTCAGTGGGTTAAGTGCCCTTTCCCACAGCATACGAAGTTTCTGCTCCGAGGCCGTGTGGACCCGGAACGGGGTTCACAGCCCTTTTGGCTTCTGTCCTTCGTGCCCCCACAGCCGCCATTGCGGTCTCACTTCACTGCCTCCCAGTATGTCCAACTGTCCTTCCAGGAGTCTTTTGAAGCACTGACACCTGGAGTCACCTGCAGATTGAAGTATACATGGCAATCCCACGATCGCTGTGCGTCCTAAGTTGCTTCAGTCGTGTCCGGCTCTGTGCGACTCTATGGACTGTAGCCTGCCAGGCTCCTAGGTCCATGGGATTCTCCAGGCAGGAATACTGGAGAGGTTTGCCATGCCCTCCTCCAGGGGATCTTCCCGACCCAGGGATGGAACCCGCGTCTTCTGCGGTTCCTACCTTGGCAGTCGGGTTCTCTACCACTAGCACCACCTGGGAAGCCCACTTGCTGTAGGTACTGACAAAGGGAGCAGGGCCAAGACCTCTGGCCCAACAAAGTTGAGCAAGACTTGACAGCCCTCCCACAGAGGTACACTCATTTCCTGTCCTCAGTGGAGCGTCCGTTGTGCCAACGTGATCCCTCCCCGCCCCCACCTGTTGGTTTGAAGGGTGTCTTATCTATGTGGCAGAAACGCACATTTTGGAGTTTACCACTAGAAATACTATTTAAACCCCAGAGGAGTAAGTTTAAGTGGAGATCATAAGACCCTGGAGTTCTCTGAAACTGAAGTGCAGGAAAAGATGCTGGTAAGAAGTGACTGGAAAAGTGGGAATAAGGGTCGGAGGGCAAGGTGTAACGCAAGCTGAGGGGAAGGGGCATCATGGGGTTAATACTGGCTGTTAAGGTATCTTCCTGTATTCCAGCGGGGCAGCCTTGATCTACAGTTTCTGGGTTAAAGGCAATGCTTTTTCCCTCCCCCTCCCCTCACGGGGGCATTTGGCAAAGTCTGAGAGTCTGTCGGTTGTCACGGCTGGGGGAGGGGGAGTGTTAATAACTGGCATCTGGTGGTAGAGGCTACACTGTGCTTAAAGTTAGAAAAATAAAATATATAGGTGGATCGTAAAAATTTTGTGTGTGTTTGTGGAATATAGTAATTGGGGAAAGGAGAATTAATTGGATAACTTTTTTCACTCACTGAATTGTCAGTATTTTGAAGTTTGTTGAAATTCATTGTTGTCTGGGAATCCCCTGGAGGTCGAGTGGTTAGGACTCCACACTTTCACCGCCTTCAGGCCCAGGTTCAATTCCTGGTCCGGGAACTAATATCGCATAAGCCGTCCAAAAGTTCATTATTGGCAAGAGGTGACACCCCACTCTGAACGAAGATGCATATGGGAAGTAGGGTGTCACCTCCTCTCTCCTTGCAGTTCATTTGTGCAGAGAAAGATGCAGCTGACATGTCCTCCTCTCCCTCACCTCTTTTTCTCCAGAGCCCAGGGGCTACTCTTTTTTTTTTTTTTGGCCACAGTGGGACCTGCAGGATCTTAGTTCCCTAATCAGGTGATGATCTTGGTGAGGCAGCAGTGAGCGATGGCATGAAATGAGATCTTAATTCCCTGCCCAGGAGTTGAACCTGGGTAGCTGGGATGAAAACCAGAAATCCTAGCCACCAGATCAGTGAGAGCTAGGGGCTAGAAGCTATTTCCCCCCTGGATCTTTGCCCCTGTAAAAAATGCATTTATCACCCAGAGGCAGAAACTGTAAATGCAGGTACAAAGTTTATTGTTAGAGACAGAGCACAATGAGTGGGAGAGGACCTAGAAAAACTGTTTAGTTAAGACAGAAGCAAGGCAGAGATGCACACCTGGAGAGAAAGGGTGTGGGTGTCCTCCCTAGTGAGGAGGAGTGCAGTAAAGAGGCAGTTAAGACATTTATATAGGGCAGTTCTTCCGGGCCTTTCTCTTGCTTCAGGCCAATTACCTGTTTCTTTTTCCACACCTGACCTACCCTGGGACCCTCCCTTGAGCGCACACACACCCGTCAACCAACATGAATCTCAGAAGTAAAGGCTTCTGGAAGGTTGGTCTGACATTATCTCCTGACTTTTGACCCACAAGGGGCCTTTCTGTGCTGTGTAGTGTCTCCCTTGTCCCAAAAGAAGGGGAGACGGGAAACCTGTTAATCCTTTTTTAAAAAAATTATTTTTCAATTTTTGGCTGTGCTGGATCTTTGTTGCTGAGCAGGCTTTTCTATAGCTGTGGCAAACGGAGGCTACTCTATTTGCGGTACACAGGCTTCTCCTTGCAGTGGCTTCTCTCGACACATGGGCTCAGTTGCTCCCCAGCATGTGGGATCTTCCCAGGTCAGGGATCAAACCCCTGTCTCCCGCATTGACAGGTGGATTCTTTACCACCAGCCACCAGGGAAGCCTGATCGTTAATCCTTTACTCAAACAGGATCTTGCCCCTCTTTGTCCTTGCCATGACTATTACCATAAGGTGTTGACAAGAGACGGGCACTGGCTATTTACCCTGTTTCTGTTGTTACTTCCATTTCGGAGGGCAAACAGGGAGGCTGGTTGTAAATGGCAGGCTGATTGTTAAGGCTCCTCCTTAACTGGAGCCCACCTCTCTCTTGTCTGATTGTTTTTTCACTGAGTCAGTGAGTTGGGGGTGGTGGGGGGGTGGTGAGCCCAAAGGGGTTCTCACTTCTGGAATCAAGGGACAGTGCCAGGTGGGGAGTTTGGGGCGGTACACCTGTCAAACGGTAACGCAGGTTCCTGAGGTGAGCTTAGGGAGAACAGAAACCTGTGGAACAGAAGGGCTAAAGCTCACTTGATCTTGATTTTCAGTATGAACACAGACTGTGAAAAGGGGGGCCTCACAATCCTTCTGACTTTTGGGGTTTAAGCAGGAAGTGTCAGAAAAGTTACCACAGTGATAACTGGCTTGTGGCAGCCAAGTGTTCATAGCGACGTTGCATTTTGATCTTTCAATGTCAGCTCTTCCTATCATTGTGAAGCCGAATTCACCAAGCGTTGAATTGTTCACCCACTAATAAAGAATGTGAGCTCTTGTCTCAGGAAAGGCTGTTGTAGTATCTTGCCTGAAGCCCATGTCTTCCTGCCCTATAAAATGTAAATAGGAGGCCAGCTGTAAATGTCTACAATATGGAGCCCATCTATCTCCTACATAACAGGGATCGATTGCCCCTTGCAATGGAAACACAGAGTCGTAACCACTGGACCATCAGGGAATTCCTTCCCAGTGGTTACTCTTAACGAAAAATTTAAATTGCCTGAGAGGAAATGGTCTCAGATATCATTATTGAAGGGACTGTTGGGCCAGCAGCATTCTGTGGAGTCTTGCTGATAATCTAACTTACTTCTGTTGATATTTTGAAAGAACAACTCAAAGGAGAAATGATGGATGTACAGCATTTGGCAGTGTCTGAAGTGTCTATAATCATGGTGGCAGATAAAGATCACTGCTCACTTAAAAGCTGTGGAGTGCTTGTCAGCAAGAGAGGGAATCTGTCAGCAAGAGAGGGTGAAAGGAGCCGAAATCTGATCCAGAAGAGAGTTAATAACTTCAAATCCATGATTGTTGTTGTTCAGTCATCAAGTCGTGTCCCACTCTTCACGACCCCGTGGACTACAGCACGCCAGGCTTCCCTGTCCATCAACAACTCCAGGATTTTGCCCAAGTTCATGTCCATTGAATTGGTTATGCCATCCAATCATCTTACCCTCTGTCACCCTCTTCTCCTTCTGCCTTCAATCTTTCCTAGGATCAGGGTCTTTTCCAATGAGTCAGCTGTTCACATCAGGTGGCCAAAGTATTGGAGCTTCAACTATAGCATCAGTCCTTTCCAAAGTGTATTCAAGGTTGACTTCCTTTAGGATTGACTGCTTTGATCTCCTTGCTGTCCAAGGGACTCTCAGGAGTCTTCTCCAACACCACAATTTGAAAGCATCAATCCTTTGGTGCTCTGCCTTCTTTACGGTCCAACTCTCACATCTGTACATGACTGCTGGAAAGGCCATGGTGCTTTAGTTGCTAACTTGTGTCTGTCTCTTGCCACCCCATGGACTGTAGCCTGCCAGGCTCCTCTGTCCATTGAATTTTCCTGGCAAGCATACTGGAGTGGGTTGCCATTTCCTTCTCCCAACCCAGGGATTGAACCCAGATCTCCTGCATTGCAGGCAGACTCTTTACCGACTGAGCTACAAGGGAAGTTGGATGGAAAGACCATAGAATTGACTATGTGGAACTTTGTCGGCAAAGTGGTATCTTTGCTTTTTAACACACTGTCTAGGTTTGTCATAGCTTTTCTGCCAACAACCAATGGTCTTCTAATTTCATGGCTGCAGTCACCATCCACAGTGATTACGGAAATTGTAAAGTACAATTTGGAGTAGGGCATAGTTGTTGTGGTTTTAAATCCAATAGGAATTCTTAACATACTTAGCTGGAAATCAAAAGTATTTCCTAAGCATCCATGTGATTCAAAGTGATATAAGCTGGTTTCTGACAGATTTTGTTGTCTTTTGTTTGAAAATTTTATATACCAGAGGCTGTACTTTTGAATGGATTTTAACAACCCAAGAGGGTGAAGTGGAGTGAGTGTCTGTGGCAAACTATGGCCCCAGGCGCAAGCAGGCCTGCCTTTGAGTTTTGTAAGTGAAATTCTTTTGAAGCACAGCAACATCCACTTAACTATTGTCTGCTCTTAAGTCACAACAGAGATTCAATAGCAGAGACTGCCCAGAAAGCCTACTTGCTGGTTC